TTCCCAGCCAGAGTAGAAAGTAGAAAAGAAGCTAAAGAAAAGTGTAAGATGAGCTGTCCACAGGATGTCCAAAGAACCTGGCCCTGTCTGGTGTTCTCATCACCCACTTGGGAGCATTCTCTCAGTAAGCTCCATTTCTTCTTGATAGCAGTAGCACCTGTGGCTGTCCTCACTATTCCTTCAAATTATTGAACTTTAATTTCTTCAATGTCTCACTTATTGCCAGTATTAGAATCCAGGGGATCATATTTTACCTTCTGTAAGCTACATACCGAAGGCAAAAAATAAAATAATATATGTAGTTGCTTTACATATTTTAATTTATTCAACCCTAGTGTGAGCTATTGCATATGTGTTATCATTTTACATGGGAGGAGACTGAAGATCAGAGGGGTTAAATAACTTACCCATAGTTACATAGCTAGAAGGTATTAGGGACAGACTTATGAGATGCTGTGCTAACTAATAGAATGGGCATTCACAATAGCAATAACAATTCTTCACTTGTATCTCCCCAGAGTCAAACAAAATAGATATCAAATCTAAGTCATAAGGTCAGGGATATAGCACAGTAGTAGAGCACCTGTCTAGCACAAACCTGATAAAGGACCTTGGTTCCCCCAGTGTCAGTAGAAGGAGGAAAAATAAAAAAATCTGAACCTAAGTACTACTTTTGAAATGTAAACATAACTTCAAGAAAAATTTCACTTCCAAGGAGAGCATGGTGGTACAGAGCTGTAATCCTTGCCCTTGGGAGGCTGAGGCAAGTGAATCATGAGCCAGAGGCCAGCATGAACTATATAGAGAAACCCTGTTTCACCCCTCCAGTGTCCCCCCCCCTTACAACCAAATCACTACCATTAAGTTCCTCTGTACAGAAACTTTGGAACTGCTGCCCCCCACTCACATTACCCTTCATGGTAGAACCCTGGAGTCCTTAAGGACCACACTGTTATAGTTCAGAAAGTGGAGTATGCTGTGTGCTCATAATTCTGTCTTCTTGAGGTTGACGCTGTCTTATTCAAGTCTAGGTCTCCAACAAATACACAGTCTAGGACATAATATCAGTGCACAATAATTGTTATAAACTTCACCTCTAATACCACACTGTAACAGCATATTATTTGAATGAGCCCCAAAGTTTTCAGTGTGCTGGAAATGGGAACAGATTTGCTTTTAAGTGCCACAGATGTAGAGGTCAACTAAAAGGATCTAGGCTGAAATTGCAAGGCAGGAGTCTATGTTCAACCTCCACCCCCAATACCTTTTGGAAGTGGTGGCTGCCGTCAGTACTGTTTCTTGAGAGTAACTCCCTCTGCTGCTCCAGCAAAGACATGACCTAAATCACAAAAGTACTAAAGGCAGTTAAGGCCTAATAGAGCACAGGCTCCCTGCTCTTGTTAATTGGAGAATCTAGCACACATTAGAGAACAGTTATTTAAGTCTCAACAATAATTCTCAATAAGGAAAGAAGGCTAGCCTAGTAGAGCTGAAGTCTCCTTATATCCTTAGAGAAGTTGTTTAATGCAATGTCTTCTCTAATGTAATGATCCCTCTTTTCTTCTACTGATAAAGCCTTGCTTTGTTGTCAGGCTGGCTTTGAACTTGAGATCCTCATGCCTCAGTCTCCCCAAGTGCCAGTATTAAAAGAGTATACCACCACATAATTCATGCCTTGAGTTATTCTTTTGCAGGTACTTGAAAAGGTTTGGGTGTTCTCTAAAGGCTGTTAAGCATTCCCTGAGAATGCACAAATTTATTTGTCTACTAAAGGCAAAGTTACCTGTTTTTTTTTCTTATTGTACATTTCCAAAGTCATTCATAAATATTCCTTCCAAATCAAGCAATATATGAAAGAAAAGTAACCAAATCCAGTTGTCACTGATTATCAACTATCAAGTTGTAACATACCAACAAACATAAAAGCATAAAAGTACTTGAAGTGTACTGCTTTTAGTCTTAAAACACTACAAATGAATGTAGTAAGAGAATGATCTCAGTCTGATTAGTCTTCAGTGATTTTTCTGGTCTGAAGTTGGAGGTGTTGGCACACATAACACTAGTTGGTGGGAGATACCACATACATCGTAGTATGTGGGCCACATGACACACTAGGAGGCAGTAATTCAGAAACACACACACACACACACACACACACACACATACACACACACACATCCCTTGCCTTCACTAGGAGAATCTTTCATTCTTGGAAGTCAGAAGCACTGAGATTCCCTAGAGCTGGGGTTTCCCAGCAATCCTCAATGAAACAATTAGAGCACAGCCAGAAGGGTAAAGTTGTTGCCTAAAGCACAGAGAATTTCCCAAGAACCTGTTTAAAATGACTGTCCTCTGTCTTTAAATCATATTGTTTTCTATCTCAAACATTGTTTCTTCTTTCTTTTCCTTTGACTGTTTCCAATGAGATTATGTATTTTCAAAAGCTTATTTTCCTAGTACTGCTCCAACAGATTAAAAACCTACTTCATGTTGAAAATACTTAAATGAATGCTCCTATTTTAATTGCATATGTACTTCCATTCAGGAAAATAGTCTACAGAGTTATTAAGGCATCAGAACAAGAAAATGGTATCTTGAGGTAAGTGCAGGAGGAGCAGTGGAAAGGTAGGGGAAAGGGGAGACACTGAAGGGATTGGAAGTCTGCCTACCAGACCATTCTACAATGAGTGACTCTGAGCAAAAAGTGTTAATAGTGAGTCAGTACTAAACAGGCCTGGCTAATGAGTAGCTGTCAGGGGGACAGTAGCAGATAGCAAGCAGATTTCGGTGCTTTGCACTTCCTTTGATGCCTAACAGATAACACAGGAAGAACTGGTGCCTTGGAACATAGAGGAAAACAAAGATAAAAGTCCAGAGTTCTGCATTTCTCAGAGCACGTGACTGAAACAAAAATGTTATTCTTCCAGAACTGAAGGACTTACACAAAGTAAATGGAGAAGAACCACACCAAAACGCATAGGTCCAACAGAAACTCTTTTTCTTTCTCTACTTAAGATCAGACTCAATCCTCAATCTTTGGCTTGTCTGGTGTATACAAGCAAAAGGGCAAGATGCAAGGCGTATCCTGTGCTTTTCTTTTAATCTTTGTTCCCTTCTTTCAATATTAATCCACTTACAGTCTCTCCTGTTTGATTATCTTTATTGATACCTTTTCTACCCCATCTTTATAAGTTGGCTGTTGTAAGCTCTCAGCAGGGGATCCTATCTCCTTTTGGCATCTTTGGGGACTTTAACTTGTCCTTTACCCAACCGGTCCTCTTACTCTGCTCCCCACCCCCCAATGGCTTGTTTCTTTGTGCGCCTAAGAATTCCATCAGGAGTCAAAGCTGAGTCCACCACTACTCATCAGGTTGCTCACTTAGGCTTCCAAAATCCTTCTCTAAGCATTTTGGCTACCATTGGAGTACTTCTTATCTATTTCAAGAAATCTGTAACAAGATCATTGAATTCCCAATACAAATGCCTTTGAAACATGGACAGGCAGATGAGCTCTGGAGGTGCACATGAGAAAACCAGACTGGCCCCTCAGAGTCCAGGCATCTGGCCAGAAAGGAAGGAAGGATTTATGAGCCTGACCACTTAGCAGGGCAGCAGAGAAAATTTACTCCTGAAGTAGCTATTGCTAATTCACAACGCAGTGCTAATCACTTACCTCCCCATGAGGACCACACTAGCTTGGCTTCTGGGTTCCCCTCCACCTCCACAAGCCCCTTCCCACCTCAGCACCTCTAGAGTCTAGTGAACGGCAGTCTGAACTTGGGAAAGGACAGCATATGAGCATCGCTGTACGAGCCAGGGTTACCTCCTGACCTTCCAGGCTATCCAAATTTGTAAAGTAGAACAGACCAGAAGAGAGGAATGTGTGCATGTGTGTGTGTGCGAGCGTGTGTAGGGAAAATCTCTAAATTGCTTTCCTGTCTCCAGGCAAAGCAATATCGCCTCAGGCAATCAGCATAAAACCAGGTGAACAGATCCAAGTGGGCACTGGGCTTGGACAGATGGTTAGGTGGCCAGGTTACTCTACAGAGACCCCGGAAAAGGCAGGCTCCGTTCCCTCTCTCCTTTTCCACTCACCTTATGCTGTGAGCTGCAAGCACGCCTTAAAATTCGGACCCTAAAGCTGTGAAATGCAGGTACCCCCTAAAATTCGGAGAGAAGAAATGTGGCCCCATAGATAACCCCTCACTCTCCGTGCCTCCCATCGGCCCTTACACATTCCCAACTCCCTGTCGCTCTCCTTCTAATCTGGCTTTGCCCAGGGCTCAGGACATTTCAAGGCTTACATGCATTAAATTAAAATGTCAGAGTTATAAACTGGTTAGCCACCCCCGGGAGTTACAGATTTGGTTTGAACAACTAGCGGCTTCTCCCCAGAGCTCTGGGTTTTAAGTTTCTCCATCTCCTGGTAGGAGGGGGGCACACTAGGGCTTGTGAGCTGGAGAGGCAGGCACACCCGGGGCCTGTCTGTCCAAAGCGAGCTGTGCATTTCCATAGTGCCCCACAGCAACCGAGGGCCACCGATGCCTGTCGGTCCTCGGTGGTAATGGACACAATTCCTTCACCAAGATGCAGGAAGATCCTGCGACCCGCTCAGCTCCCGGAGCCTCTGCGCACCTAGCGCATCAGGGTTCACATACAGCATCCCACACGACCAGTGGCGCCCAGAGACTCTCCAAATCTCCAAGATGCAACAACGTGCGCGAGTGGAACTGAAAGTGCAAAAGACACTCCAGGCTCCCACAGGCACAGACAGGGCTGCCTTTCCACACCCAGTGGATGCCCGCTCCAGCCTCACCCAGCTCGGGAGCTAAGACTGAAAATTTGGCTTCCCGACTACTTGGGAAAGTGGAATTTAAAGTGGTTTCCAGTTGAGGGCAAGCAGGCAGATGGAGGCAGCCGGGAACACGGGGGAGAAGGAGAGGAGGAAAAGAGGGACGGAAGATGCGAAGGGAGGTGGCCGCGCCCGGAGGACCCCTTACCTTGAGCGGCCGAGCCGGTGCCGCTGGCGCTGAGCAGGGCCAGGGCAGGTAGCGCGAGCATCTGCAGCAAGTATCCCAGTCCCAGTCCGCAGCGGGCCGCTGTCGCCCGCAGACCTTTCCTCATCGTCGACGGAGGTGTGCGGGAAGTGAAACGCCACCCAGAGACGCGCGAACAGCCGAGAGCCCGGCCGGGCAAGAGGCTGAATCCGGCCACCGCCAGGCAGTCCCGAGAAATAACACCAGCCAAGCGCCAGTCTCCACTTTCTCGGAGGGCAGGGGCCAGAAGGGGGAGGAGAGGATCTGCCGAGGAGGAGTTTGAGGGTCCCTGGTTCCCGGCGCCTGGCCACTGGCGTCTCCCGCCAGGAGCGCTCTGCCCCCACTTGGGAAGTGCGGGAGGCGCAGCGCGGCCGAGGTGGCCGCTCCCCGCAGCAGCAGCAGCCGCAGCTCCGCCGCCAGCCGAGTGGGGACTGTCGCGGGTCCCCTCGGCCGCGAGGATGCACAGGCGCCGGGAGGGGGAGGTGGCAAAGTGGGAGGAGAGGCGAGCGCAGACGACGCGCTCTGGGCTCCAATCTCTGCGCTCTCATGCGGGAGAGGGACGCCCAGGCTGCCGCCTGCCCGAGGCTGGCGACCGTCACCTCCTGGAGTGCGGCGCGCGGGGGCCCTCGCAGGCGCTCGCCCAGGAGGCGTAGAGGGCGCGGCCCCTCTCCGCGTGGGGGGAAGCGGCGGCGGGAGCGCGCTCGCCCACCTTATGTAAGCGGGGATGGAGCGAGATCCACGCCTCGTGGGGATGGTGGAGTCCACTGGGCTTCACTCATTCAGTCGAGAGACACCTGGGGGCAGAGGCGGCAGCGGCGAGGGGCAGCGCTCTGCCTCCTGCCGGACTCCAGCTCCCCAGCGCTGAGGGCGCGCCCCGGGCCACTTGGCTGTGTCCGGTGAAGTCAGCCCGCCTCCAGGCAGCCTCCGCGAGCGGCCTAAGCCTCCCCTGGACTGGACTCGCTCTAGGATTTGGGGACTTGGAGGTTGATGGAGATGGAGGCAGGCTCGAACTTGTCTTCAGTGATGGGGAGGAAGGCGTGAAGCTTTGCAGCGCCTAGCCTACTGTCTTTGGGTTTTCAGTGCCAGTCTGACTGTTTTATGCTCTGGGAGCCTCTGACCTATTTGCAGTGGAACAGAAACTAAAAGATCAATGAAAACTCCTTCAGGAGTGCTTTCTTTGCGTGCATCTTGGTGGCTGAGAGATTTAGTGCCTAAAGGGTGGTGAGGCAATACCGGAGAAACGCTCGCAAGAAAATAAGCACAACAAAACTGGAAGATACTCAAAATGTGTTGGAACCTATGACCTATTTTCCAAATTCCCAACAACGGTGTGTGAGGACTAAAACTGCTATGATAAAGAAAGAAATTAGAAGGTAGTTAGGTTGTGAATGGCTGATGTAAGGATGAAGGAGGAATGTAAGAATGCGCTGGTAAAATAAGGAAAGGCTAGACAAAAGGAAAGTGAATGGATGATACATCACTTACACTGGACGGTCAGCACTGTGGGAAGGAGAAAAGCCGTGTTCTAAGATTAGTATATAAATTAACAAATGCTGTATCACTGGGAAGTTAAGTTCAAAGTGCTAAAGGAGCAATGTGTAAACACACACACACACACGGGGGGGGGCGGGATGAATAAATCTGAGATCTAATTTGAACTGTGATCATAACTTGTCATGAGCAGGTCAGATAACGTTTGCATGTCTTGTTTCTTTATCTGAAATATTTTATTAACTCTTTCCTAATAATCCATCATTCCGCTTTCCCAGCTCCATCTAAACCCCTAGCCCATAATACATGCTTTGGATGAGTTTGATAGATTTGGAAAGGTCACCCTTGGGAAAGACATTAATATTAGCCATTTATTTCTATGGAGATTCTAGCTGCCATGTTAAAATTTCTTCTTCATTTTCTTCAAAGTTGCCCACATGGGCATATCATGGTATTTAGGTGTGAGGGCAGGTGCCAGATAGTGGGATCTATTCTCAATGATTTACTAGCTTTTTTTCCTAATCTGTAAAATGGGTCTTAATAGCAGGAATGATCTATAGGGTTTTGTGAGGATTCAATTAGTTAAATATATATATGGAAAATGCTTGACAAAGATGTGTTGACAGCTGTTTTGATCATATAGGGAGGATTCCTGTCTTTCTATGCCATGGAGGCCAGCACTGCTTAGCAGCATTTCTGTAGCTAGTATGTATAGATCTCTCTTCTCCCAAATTGTAGTTAATAAACATACATGTCTACTGAGCACTTGTAATGTGGCTACTGTGAACTGACAACTTTAACTTTTATGTTAGTAATTCATTTGAATATAAATAGCCATATGCGGGTAATGGTTGCTGCATTGGTTGGTACAGCTAGGCTGCCTGTTATTATCTTGAGTATTATATCATCAGAAAAGGATAGGATTAAACCTAATTTTTTTTTTTTATCATTTTCCTCAAGAAGGATAAGAGCTTAAACTCCATGAAAGAAATCTGTGTGCATATTCACCATCACAATAACAAACTCCAAAAGTTGTGAAGTTATTCATTTATTCTTTACAATTTTTTTTGCCTGTCTTTCCAAACTAGAACAACTATTTAAAGCGGTTACTCTGTTTTGTTCATCTTTTCATCCAACACAGAACCAGATATAATTAGTAGTCAGTCAAGATTGGTTGACTGTTTGATAAGAAGGCTCACATGGGAAGAATCTTCAAAGTCTAGGACAGTTGAGGAAGGTTAAAATGATCAGGTTAAAATTATTCAGGACATTGGGGTCTCAGCAGGAGTTACTGCGTGAAATAAATTCCTTAAAAGACTCAATAGGAGATAAGGCAAATAAAAGTAGTTCAGTACTGAAATTCAGCCTAAAGAGGGCAGGAGAATGGTTTGAGAAATGATGTGTGGAGATAAAATAGAAACAGAGGAAAGCGAGAGTATATGAACAAGGAAAGTGCTTGTGAGCAGGGCAGTTCCAGGCGTTGCTCCCTATCTGTGGTTGCAGATGCAGCTTGCCTGTGGATCAGCATTCTCCCTAGTGTTGCTGACTGTCATGTTTTTGTCTTCATAAAAACAGTAAGGCCGAGTTTCTGAGACTCCTGAGCACAGGCTTGCTAAATTCCTGAACTCTGGGATCAAATATCTCTGCCTATAGAAGACTCCGATCAATTTACCTAAAATAGGAACAACCTGTCACCCTCCATTACAATCACCTGCATTGATTTTCCCACACAGCGCTTACTTTTCATATTTATCTGTGTACTCACCTGCTTGTTTTTATATCTATATGTGTATGTGCATGCATGAGTGTGCAGACACATATGTCTGAGTATGCATACAAACTTACCAATAGGTTGTATGCATCTCAAGAAGACTTTTTGTTTATCCTGCTATGGCCAAAATCTAGAACAGAGCCTAACACAGTCAGTAAATATTTCTTGGATGTTGAGTACAGGAATATGAAGCCAGTGGGTTTTAGAGTGGAGCCAAGTCCTGAATACCACCCCCATGCATTTTCAGATGATGTGTAGGCTTTTCTAGCTGTGGAATAAAAATCAAGTGTGAAAACATTTGAACCCAAAATATATCTAAATATGATCCTTCAGTTTTGGAATACTGCAGGTGTTTAAGGAACCAACCTGAAATTCAACTGAGTTTGGAAAATAAATAGCTTCGTTTAAATCCATATATAAGGGCTTCCTATTTCTTGGCTTCTGTAAGTAGAGAATTAACTCTGGGATAATAAATCCCAGTGACAGGTGCTAATGGGAATTAAGCATGCAAATCCCCTGCATATCCCTCCAGAAATCTACACCAGGAAAA